GACTTGAATAACTACTACTCAATTTCAACACGCTTTACATATTGGACTCACGGGAGATTTCTACACATGAAAAACACAATTATTCTACGGTGGTTAATGGGTACATTGATTGGGTAATACGTAAGATTTTATAGTGACTAAACAGACAATATAATAATATGTAACTCGAAGCGTCCAATCACGGCAGATATGAACACGCAAACGCAAGAATTATAGGTAATCATAAATTACATTAATTAGAGATTTAAGCACGAGAAAAACACATAAATATTGTTAAGATAACCACTAAGATATAAAGTAGATGCTGACACGAGAAAAACACGAGTGTGGTTGGCTATCGTACTCAGTAATAATTATTTTACCGCAGTAGAAATAATTAAATCGCGGTTAAATTTTAGCCCTTTTTAGCAAATCAGAAGCCTTGTTCCACATAATTTAACCGCGGTTAAATTATGTTGTACTGTACTCTACTATATATTACTAATTACGAAAAACAGATTAAGCGAGATGTTAGCATGGGGACGCGATACAGCCGTTTACTCTTGGAATTTCTCACAGACGTAATTACGTGCCCAATTACCGGAAGAATACGCGTAACTGTCTTTATCAATCTTAACGTAGTATTTGTTGTCTGCATTAGTGGGTTCAGAAGGACCCCACACGGTAGGTTCACACATGTCTACCTGTCTTCCGGTAGCATTCCAAACCCACTGCGTGTCCACAGCAATGTCGTTGCCACCGGTCCACCATGGTGTTTTGAAGTATGGCGCCAGGAAATCTTTTTCTCCCGGTGATTCCAGACTAACGAGATTAATATTGGCTCCCATGTTGATGCAACGGTCACGCGCCGATTGCCACTGAGGCCTGTACGTTGTCTCAATGTGGTAACAGTTTCCCCGGAATTCCACAAAGTCTGCAGGGCATTGTCCGGTGTTTACTGAAACATCGGTAGCGTATTTCAAAATATAAATGCGCTGAGTTACACCATGTTACCTCTATTCGCTATCATTTTAATTAACTGACGCTGAGATTTTGTAAACAAGTTTTTTATTTCAATTTCACCAGTGTGCTAAATTCACTTTTCTGTGTGATATAAACTCTCAGCAGGTAAGGTTTCTATTAAATTAACTGAAGAAAACTTCTGGGTAATTTACGTTAGAATTTGCAACCGAATTAGCCTGTTCATTGACTGTGTAAGCTATTTGCCTGGTTCTGAGGAATAACCTCCGGGTAATATGACCCCTCCAGATGGTCACCCCGTAATAATAGTTTCATTTATTTTTGAGATTATTGTTCTGAATTTAATTTCTTCGAGGGAATGATTGTTCTGGGAGTGATTGTCCACGGAGTGATTGTCCGGGGAGTGATTGTCCGGGGAGTGATTGTCCGGGGAGTGATTGTCCGGGGAGTGATTGTCCGGGGAGTGATTGTCCGGGCTATAATTTTCCGTGTGATTGTCCGCGAGTGATTGTTCGGGGAGTGATTGTTTCAGAGTGACTGTCCGCGGAGTGATTGTTTGGGAAGTGATTGTCCAGGCTATAATTTTCCGGGTGATTGTCCCAGGGGAGTGATTGTTACAGAGTGATTGTCCGCGGAGTGATTGTCAGAGGAGTGATTGTTATAGAGTGATTGTCCGGGGAGTGATTGTTACGGAGTGATTGTCAGAGGAGGGATTGTCAGAGGAGGGATTGTCAGAGGAGTGATTGTCAGAGGAGTGATTGTCCGGGGAATGATTGTTAAAGAGTGATTGTCAGAGGAGTGATTGTTACAGAGTGATTGCCATAGGAGTGATTGTTACAGAGTGATTGTCCGGGGAGTGATTGTTATGGAGTGATTGTCCGGGGAGTGATTGTTATGGAGTGATTGTCCGGGGAGTGATTGTTACGGGGTGATTGTCCGCGGAGTGATTGTTACGGAGTGCTTGTCCGAGGAGTGATTGTTACGGAGTGATTGTCTGGGGAGTGATTGTTACGGAGTGATTGTCCGGGGAGTGATTGTTACGGAGTGATTGTCCGGGGAGTGATTGTTGCGGTGTGATTGTCCGGGTAGTGATTGTTACTGAGTGATTGTCCGGGGAGTGATTGTCATGGGGTGATTGTCCGGGGGTGATTGTCCGGGGGTGATTGTCATGGGGTGATTGTCCGGGCGTGATTGTCATGGGGTGATTGTCCGGGCGTGATTGTACGGAGTGACTGTCTGGGGTGATTGTCCGAGGGTGATTGTCCGGGATGGGATTGTGCAATTGATTGTTGTACCGATACCGTTTGTTTACCTCAAAGCGGCAATATGACTCATTACTATCCAACGTTAACAAAAGCAACACGGCAGTCGAATAGTTTATACTTTCTATATAAGAAAACTACTCTTTTAGTTCTAGTCACGGTGAGGTTATGACTTTCAATAAAATCTTAATTCCGATGGTGAATGATTTTCACGCATATTCCTGTAACAGTTACAGCGTAACTGATATATAATTACTAACCTTTCATGTAGAAGTCGTAGTTATCGGTGACAATTGCAGCGCCGACGTCAGTGTCTGCGTAGGCGCTCAGCTCGCACTGTTTGCTGGTTGATGTGGTGTTCTCCATGTTATAACCGGTGCAGCCTAAAGTGCGGCCGCAAAAGAATGCACACTGAGGCATCCTTCTGACCATCATCGTCTCAAGAAGACAACCTCTCACGGCTTCTCCCTTTAATTAGAGTTGATATCCTGCCGCGTTTGTACCTCTTGTCGCGCATAAAATAATGTACGTGACGCAGAAAACGTGATAGGTTAACGCGCTCATGTTCTTTAGATCTCGTAGTAAGAGCAAAGTCTAGAAGTGACCGCTCATTGTGCGTATATTACAAATGTTGATGCCTGTTCCTGGTAATCTTACTAGGATAGTGTGGATTAGCTCGTTAGATATCGGTCAGGAGAGAGAGAGCGCGCGCGAGAGAGAGAGAGACGGCGGTGCAATGTCAGCAACCAGCTGTCCTACACTGTGCTGCTGTCGATTCAGGAAGCAACGGCCGGTAAACGGAAAATTTGTCAACTGCTGCCAATAGCATTTTATTTCATGACAAAGGTTGTCATAGAGCCTTTTAAATTCAACATCAATATTCTCGATCAGAAATGGCTTGTTTGTTCTCGTGAGCGCATATAATACGTTTGCGTTAGAGTGTAGAATATAATCATGAGCCATGTTTAATGTAAACAAAATTACAAGCACGGAAAAACTAGAAGAGAAACTGGAGGAGGAGCGAGTGGCAGACGTAAGAAATTATGATGCCGGCCCTCCGGGACATCTCGGAATGTTTACGGGATGGAGAGGAGGGATGTAGCGAGAGAGCCAGAATGAGAACGAAAGAGAGAAAGGTTTGCGCGTGTGCGCGCGAGCATGTGTGTGCGCGCGCACGTGTGTGCGTGTGTTAACAT